TTCGCTCACGGCGAGGGCTTTCATCACTCTTGCCATTTGAAATTGTATAGGCCAACTCTGACCTGTGGGGGTCATCTACTGGTGTAATGTATAATATCTCAGGAATCAGTTTCTCTAATTCCGTGCGAGGTCCAGGCCTTTGACCTTCTCAAACAGTTGCAGAAACAGTGGTCAACTCTGATCCGATTTCCTCAGCTTTTAGCCGCAGTTCCATGGTTTATGTTATCTTTGTTGCTCTTTGCAGGTTCATATAGGTCCTGGCTGATTTGGGGTTAGTGATGTCAGCAGGTCCTCTGACAAAATGGATATGACTAAGGCTCATAGTAAGTAAATACTTGTCAGGTCTTTGCTAGTATTTGGTTATATCCAAAATTGAAGTGTTAGCCTTGTGCATCAAGGCTGCATGGGGATTAAACACATGCAAAAATCGGACACTTTGTTCCTTTCCTTCCTGGCCCGGCAGATTTGCCCGTAGCATCTTGTCAACACCTCCTGCAGTACGCACCGTTCTGTTCATAAGGCTAAGCAGTACCTGGGCAGTATATCATCACGCAAGTATTTAAGAGACGCTCACTTACACACAAGCTCATGAGAACTATTACACATGGGACCTTGAGGCACAGAGTTGCCCAAACTCATCAAGGAAGCCAATTTGCATGCAAGTTCTTTGAATCCAGAGCTATGCAGTCACATTCATGTGGTCTCACTCTTTTCCTAGCCTCTAAAGAGAGTTTGCTCCTCAGCAACTGGTTGGAGGGTGTCATCCCTGCACATACGAGAGAGATGGGCTGTCACTTCAAAAGAGCTGAGGGAAGCAATCAGTAAGGTGGTCTGTCATGGCCAAGTAGGCAGTCAGTTACCTTAGAGAACCAGAGCCCATTTTATTACAGAGCTGCAGTTCCTTTCTACTGAATCCCAGGAAGACAGAACTTGTGCTCTGACTCCGGCATGAACCATCTTCCTCTGCTTTTGTTCTCTGAGGGAAATGCTGCTCTGCCTGCTGGGCATTGAGCTTGAAGAGGCCAGCTGTATGCAAGGCGATCCGGCATCAGGTTTGCATTGCCTGTTTCATCCTTATTTCATCCTCATGGAGGCTGTGTGGTTTTGACTGTTAGGCTGAGAATCATCAGCCAAAGAGAGCAACTGCTTTTACAGCAGTCGCAGGAACTCTCTCTCCATCCCAGTACACTCCAGGCAGCATGACCAGTACAGCTTTGTACGTGTCCTCCCCTCACCGCCCCACCTCTGCTCCCTGGCATGCTGCCTTACTTTTTGCTTTTCATTTTTGTTTTATCATTCATGAGTCTGGATCCTCTGGTCCTTGCAGTGCAGATTACCATCCAACTGCCTCTAATGGAAAAGACTAAACCTCGCTCGTGAAATTCATTGGAGCCATCGCAGTTCATCTTCTTTGTATGCTTTCAGGCTATGAAGGACTTGATACAACGCACGAAAGTTTTTCCTCTAACACATTAAGAACTCGTTCAGAGCAGGTTTGGACCCATGGCAGGCCACATCTATGTTATGTCTTATCCTAGACTGTGCGCGAGGTGCACGCAGGATCCTCTCTGGAACAAGGATCCATTCACCATGCTGGTGCTGTTTCCTCATGACTTGTTCCTCTCCTTGGTGGCAGGAAGATCCCTACGGTATCTGCAGGAGAATAGTTTCAGTTTTCTTGTCTGTTCAAATCAACAGCAATGGACAGTCCTTTCCATTACTGGGGAGCCCTTTTGAACAAAACGAGAGCAGAAATCATTAGTTTCCCTCTGAAGTGACTGTATATCACTCTATTAAAGCAAGTAGCAGTTCCAGTGATGTCCTAGGCATTTCTTCTCTACACCTGCGACTGCCACAGCCAGTGAAGAATGAGTTTCATGAAGCAAATATTTTGTTTGCAGTATGTGCTGAGTTACTTAGTTGTACCTTATTTTGTGTAGTATTAATCTTAGGAAGATTATAGCACGCTGGTGCTTCTGTTGCATTTTTCAGGATTTGATCACTACAACCCTTCTTGAGTCAAAACCAGAGCACGTTACTGCACAGTGCAGACGATGCGGAGGCTCTGGCAGCTGAGCCTGGGTCCTCTGCGAGGAGCACTGTCAGAGTACTGCTGCAGGAGGCAGCACCGAGGAGGGCTGTGCAAACACTTCTCTGCCTGCGCTAATATTGACAGCGCCACACTCTGCTCTTTACAGGGCTAGAGACAGACAGCAGACACTCACAGCTCGTATTAACACCTGTACACTACAGAAATATTAACCTAATGCAAACAGCCCAGCAGAAGTTAACGTCTACATTCACAGAAAACCAAATAAAAACCTCTTCCATTTCCCAGCACGAGTGCTAGTGCCCTGAACAGCTCTGGCTGCTCGTTGCCAAAGAAGGTTCAGGGGTTTGACATCCAAAGCAGTTACCCGTAGTTTTCTGCTTCAGCACCTGTGGTACTTGGCCACTTCTGGTTCAGATAGTTTGATTCTTTCGTTCCTGTGAATAAAGCATTCAAAGATGCTCTTGTATTTTAGCCTCAGTGTGGTTCACAGCAGGGAGATCAGAGACATTTAGGTGTCTGTCTGGATAGGTACAAAGTTATATAGCTTAATGGATAGGCTTTATCGTCGGTGAGAATAACTGTCTGTAAGTCATCACACAGGAAAAAGGAACTAGCAAATTTACGATGATAATAATTTAGGGTGAGCAATTGACATGCTGAAAAACCGAGCTGCAATTCAGACTTTGAGAAATGAGAGGACTGGGCCAACAGGCACCTTGTGAAGTTTAGGAAGGAGAGCGGAGTCCTATAACAGGGGCACAGTAACCCCATGCATCTCTTCTGGGTGGGGACTGACTGGCTGGGAAGCAGCCCCACTGGAAGGACCTGGAAATTGCCAGTAAGCTCCGATCCTGAATAAGACAACCCATGCACCACACTGTGTGAGGAAGAACATGGCCAGAGACCGAGGGAAGTTATTCCTATTCCTATTCCTATTCCTATTCCTATTCCTATTCCTATTCCTATTCCTATTCCTATTCCTATCCTGTGCAGCCACACCTGGACTGCTGTGTGCAGTTCCCTACTCCTGAAGTTCAACAGGGATGTGGAGGAACTAGAGAGACTCCAGTGGAGGGCTACCAAGATGGTAGCATGTGACCTACAAAGAGGTTAACAGAGCTGGGCTTTTTTGCTTGGCAAAGAGGAGTTTCAGAG